CTTCTTCTTCTTCTTCTTCTTCTTCTTCTTCTTCTTCTTCTTCTTCTTCTTCTTCTTCTTCTTCTTCTTCTTCTTCTTCTTCAACACTGGCTTCTTAAAGCATCATTTTTTATAGCCTATTGTCACCATGTAGCTATTCAGCAAACATCTGTTGAATTCAGTATTATCTGCTTTATTCATGAGATGTAATAACTAGTCCAATTCCACTTTGATGTCATTATCAGAGTACAACATTACCAAACGAAAGAATCGATACTATCTTTAATAATATAACAAACTGTTTCTCCCCAGACTCACCGTTCTTCCTGGCTTCCTGTCCATCAACAGCTTTGAGAATTCACTTGCCCAGCTTCTTATGCTATCACACACTTGCTGTTTTTAATGGAGGCAGGAGCTGTGGCAAAATCAAAATTATCTCTTTGATTGACAATGTGAAGACATCTCTAAAAGAACAACTTGTGAAATAGGACTTAAAGCTGTTGTTTTGGCATTCTGCTTTGACGTTTGTTTGCAGTTTCATTTTTAACTATAATTAAGGGAATCTAAAATTTTGCATTTATATAAGAAATTAGAGTCTCATTTTTTCCCCCTTGGGGCTGAGAATTTAAAAGTTAGCTTTTAAAATAAATACCCTTAATTGCAAGTATATCCTAATTTGCCTATTGTGTCAACTCTGAAAATGCTAATTTTAAAAAATCTGGTGAGATTGCAGGGTAGAGTGTTAGAGCTAGCAAGCCACAGTTCTCTTTGAGACGCCTTCAGAAGAAAGACAGCAAAGACAGAAAGCCCTGCAGTGTCTCAAACTTGCACTAGCTTGGCCACTTGTGAATCACATCAACTCAATCACTTACTCTGGCTTCATGTCTTCTAACAATGGGAGGATTGTATGAACAGATTTCTAAGGATTGATAAGAGCCTTTGCACCCCCAGACACAGAGCAGCCCCTGACACACAGCAGGCACTCTCTATGTATCTGCTAGCTGGGTAAGAATGTTTTCCCTCCTCATCAAACCGCTGGTCACAGGAATTGAAACTGAGAAGCCCCACATTTTCTGGGGCTTCTGACTTTATTGAAAATAAGAACTGGGATACAGTGGCTGTTCAGGATTCTGATGGAAATCTCCTTTATTTGATTCTTAGTAAAACTCAGATTTAGGACTTAAATCTATGGCATTTCCCATAATCCCAAAACATCAAGATCTCTGAAACCAGCTCTAAAGAAGTCCAAAAATCTACATGGATATAGCTTTAGCTTTTTAAAACATGGTTAAACCTTTATAATTAATGTTTTTATCTTTCCTAATTTATCTAGAATTATCCTCCTGTATGAAATTCTTAATTTTACACAAGAATGCTTTCTTTTATCACCGTGTTATAATCTCAATGTTCAAGTCCTTCCGTGGGTATACTGCCTGAGTGTGGTTTTCATTTAGGAATCAGGATTAATCATCACTATATACATTAGTCATTGTAAATTCTAGTCAAGACTGGTGATTATAACTCCATGCATAGGCATTCTCTCTGCCTTGTTCCATTAAAGACTTCTTAGAGCCAGGAACAGAGGCTCAGCAAGCAATCAAAGAAAGGTCCTTGCTCTGGTAACTACAGATCTAAACAAAATTTCCCTCACAGTTATAAATTCATAGGATAACAGTTACTTAACTCCTTGGACTTTGTGGAAATGTCCTATCATAGTTCATAATTCTTGGTAAATTTCGTGAATTATGTTCACATGTTTAACCTACTTTGAGCCTGGACCTCCTATATTTCAGCTGCTATAGTCTACTGGACCGGAAGTTTTTGTTCTAAAGAGCAGTGCTTTGTGCATGAGGAGGAGACTGAGTAAGGAATATATTCTACATTTCATGGTGTCATAACAAAAACTGTCTTGAGGGAAACTGGAATTCAGACATCTCAGATAGTCAGTATAAACTGATGAAATGACTGTTTCATGGCATGAAGAAGAGAAAGGATTTGTTGTAGATTTAGAGAGATAAAGAGAGAGAACAGCCAGAAGCATCTGGAAGAATCCAGAGCAGAGAAAGTAAACTGAACATCATCCGCGGAGTGGACCTAGCTATGAAAGAAGTAGGAAATGGGGGG